TTACCTATTTTATTTTGGACATTTTATATGTCCTATTTTCCTATTTACTAAATGGGACATATAAAAGAAAAAAAAAAGATGTAGAAAGGTAGATGATTGGTTAATAGTGCTTAATACCTGGAATCCAAATTCTTTCCAAGCTGTGAGTCAGACCAGTGCCTTGAAAATGGTTCTAGTGTTTTAGACCAAGATTACACATTTGTTGTTTGTACTCACACAATACACTTAATTAGATCAGTTAAAGACCAAACACTAAATGCTAAACTTGATTAACTGAAACCTTAATTAAATTTTTGATTCTTAGCTTGTATTACAAGCTTAGAACATTTGGCTGGTTTAAAGTTCACAGTTATTTGTAAATCCTGGTTTATTCAAGAGCAAGGTTATATATGTTGTGCAGACACAGCCATTACAGATCAGTGCCATTATTATCAATCTACTGACACTGATATTAAAAACAGTTGCAATAAATTATGGATTTTGCCAGAAAATGATTAAGGCGCAAGAAAGCTTTGAACGATCCATGGTTCATGGATTGTCGTCCTAACAATATGCACCATGTTTTCCCCAAAATAAGACCCTGTCTTATATTTTTTTGAACCCTGAAATAATTTATTATTATTTTATTTTATTAATTCAATTTGTATGCCGCCCCTCTCCAAGACTCAGGGCAGCTCACAATGCATTTAAAATCATTATAAAAAACATTTAAAAATTAAAAACATTAAAACTCATTCACACCATTCATGGCCGGATCTCGCCGGATCGCAAGAGCGAGATCAACGGCTCCAGGCCTGCCAGAAAAGCCAGGCTTCACCGTTTTCCAGAAGGCCAATAGGGTGGGGATGGTCTGGACCTCAGGAGGTAACTGATTCCAGAGAGCTGGGGCAGCCACAGAGAAGGCCCTCCCCCGCGGGCCTGCCAGCCGGCACTGTTTAGCTGACGGGACCCGGAGGAGACCAACTCTGTGGGATCTTACCGGTCGTTGGGAGTTATGCGATAGAAAGTGGTCTTGAAGATACCCTGGCCCTGAGCCATGTAGGGCTTTAAAGGTAATAACCAACACCTTGAATTGTGACCAGAGACTAATAGGGAGCCAGTGCAGCTTGTGGAGAATTGGTGTAATGTGGGGGTACCTAGGTGCACCCACGACAGCTCACGCAGCTGCATTCTGGACCAACTGTAGTCTCCGAACACTTTTCAAGTGTAGCCCCATGTAGAGCACATTGCAATAATCTAACTGTGAGGTGACAAGGGCATATAAGCACTTGTTTGTCTTATTGCCATGAGCTCAAAAGCCCGATTGGGCTTATTATCAGGGGGTGTTTTATTTGGGGGGAAACAGGGTAGAAAGTAAGGAAGATGACACTGAAGAAAATATGTAAGAACCTTTACTTAGGCAAAAGGGCTTGAAACATTTTGTAAATCCAGAGAAACAAGATAACATTCAGAAAAAGCTGAGGCTGTCCCAATTCAATAGAGCAGAAGAGGGGACTAATTATGCACAATCAGACTTGTTGTATCCAGTATCAACCTGGATAACCAATGTAACCAAATTAGCCTTTTTGTAGAGTTGATTTCCTGGTCTGGCCTGTTTGGAATTCATCAGACGTAAATTATTCTATATGGTTCAAATTCTCTATCTGAAATTGAAATCTTTGACTTTTGCACTTTAGATGACTATTCGTAATGTTTTAACTTTAGGAACTATCCAAGTCCTGTTGCTTAGTGGTTCAGGAAAGAAGTATAAAGAATCTTGTCAGAATGTTATATATACTGTCCACCTCCCTTTAAGCATGAGATAAATAAGTTACTATTTATCTCATGCTCCCATCTACTAAGACTGGCACAATAAGAGAAAAAATGCATTCATTAATGCCAGCTAATTAGAATGCCAGCTTTGAGGAATAGTTAAAAGATCTTGGTAAGTTTAGTTTACAGAGAATATAAGAGGTGCTGGACACAGTTAGTCCTATGTGACCTTGAAAGAGGCAGTGTTGCACACTTCTTGCAATCCAACCCTATGAACTATTTCTGCTGCATATCTAATTTTCTTTTTGCAAGGAATTTGTGGTAGAACGTGCTTGGGAACAATTGGACAATTCTCAGAATTCCTTTCACTCAGAATTCAAGATCGGGATGGTATGAAATTTTATTTGTGGTGGGATTTGGATAGGAAGGAATGCAGTCCTTTTGGTCCTGCTGAAATCTTTGATTGCTTTATCCTTGTAAACACCCTGTAAGTACTTGGAGCAGGAAGCCCCATTTTGCAATAATTATACACCTTCTTAAGTGGGCAGCTTCAGTCATTTGTACTGGGGGGGGGAAATGGTCACCATTTGGTTGTGTGACGCTCAGAACTTAGCTCTCTCACCAGGGGTGAAATGCTACCGGTTCGGACCGGCTCGGGCAAGTAGGTAGCGGAGAGTGAGGCTAGTTCACCGTACCAGTAGCAATTGGTGGCTGGCCACGCCCCCAAACCAGGCCACGGCCTACAGTCCTGCCATGCTTCCCTGCCTTCCCATGCAGCCTTTCCGTGACCAGCTTGCGAAGGCAGGCAAGTGGAAGGCCACGTGGAAGGCAGGTAAGCTTTGCAGGGCTGCGGGGAAGGGAGCTAGCAGCGCACTCCCTTCCCAGCGTGCCCTCCTCCTCTCCCAGGTGACAGCCAGGGCTTCATCGCCTCCTCTTTTCCTCAGAGGGGCAGCGTCTGCCTCCAAGTCCTTGCGGAGGGAGGGACATACACACACACACACAAACACACACGTCCCTGTTGCCCCCACACACACTACTTTTGCTGTCGGCTTAAAGTCAATCTTGAAGAGCTGGAAGACATTTCAGTGATCTGTTGGGAGCGTCAGTGATCTAAGGAAACGTCTTCTTACATTCCCCATTCCCCCCCTCGTTTTTCCATTTCTGTGCCTGGATTCTGCTTCTGCAAGGGAAGGCTCCGATGTTCGCGTGGGTGGTGGAGGGAAACTCAAAGGGTTGGGGGCTTCAGAAGGGCAGAATGAGCTTCAAAATGTGCAGCTCCTGGCTCTAACAGTGAGTGACGTCAAGTTGGCCACACCCACCCAGTCACATGACCACCAAGCCACACCCACAGAACTGGTAGCAAACATTTTTACATTTCACCCCTGCCTCTCACCCATATCATTTAATATCTACCTGAAAGATCTAGGCAAGTTGTGGACATGGGGTGAAGTAGGTTTAAAGGTAAAGTTACAGGTAAAGGCTAAAGGTAAAGTTGCCCACTCCAGTCATGTCTAACTCTAGGGAGCAATCATCATCTTGGTTTGTTGGCCAAGGGAGCCAGCATTGTTCATTTTCATGTTATAGTCATGGGGCCAACATGACTATACACAAAGGTGCACAGAACTCTTGTTACCTTCCCACTGAAGCAGTACCTATTTATCTACTCACATTTGCATGCTTTCAAACTTCTAGGTGGCAGGAGCTAGGGCAAGTAACGGGAGCTCACACCATTGCATGATTAATGCTCAGGTCTTTCCAGCTGACAAACTCAACATCTTTAACTGCTGAGCCATCACACCCTCTTTTGCAGTAGGTTTAATCTCCAAGCAAAGCTGAAATTCAATAGAAGTCTCCATCTGACTCTGAAAGCTGTGAGTTATCATCTGGGGGATGACTGGGACATAATCTAGATGGATTGACTGTGACATCTAGATGGATTGACAAAGTGACAACTCCACCTTGGCTCTGGGCAAAATTGCACTTCTCTGAATAATAGATCCACAGGAGATTCTCCCACACTTGTACTTCTGCTAAATCTGTTGCTAACATTTAAAATGTCATACATAAATACCCCAGACCACGTTTCTGATAGGGTGACGTGGCAGAAATGATTGCATAGGTTTGTGAAAGTTCTCCTGATAGATGATACTTGAATAACAGCTCATGGAACATGAAACATCTTTTTCTACCACAAAATATAAACTTAGTACCAAATTTTGACTAGGAGGAGGCTGCGAGTAAACTGCATGATTGGAATAGGCATCATTTTGGGACAGTAGACACATCTCTACTTTGAGACCTATTTGTTGGACCTAGGTTCCAACAGGTTGCCTGAATACCAGATGACTACATGATGGGTGTGGACAATCACAAATTCTTGCAGCTTACATAGGATGCTTTCAGGTTGCATTTATCTTCTTTATTGGAATGTAAGTTCTATTTCAAACAAAATATAAATGGTAGCCATTCTACTGTGAGATACACATGAAGCAGGGGTGAAATCTAAAATTTCTTACTACCAGTTCTGTGGGCATGGCTTGGTGGGGGGTGGGGGGTAATGTGACTGGGTGGGCGTGGCCATTTTTTTTTTTAACTTTTAAAACCATTTTTTCTACAACCTCTTCGGTTAAGAGGTTGTAAAAAAATGTTTTCAAAAGGCTCTGACGATCCCAGCTGAGTTCTCTGATCGGCAGAGGCTTTTTTTAAACTCAGCTGGGATCGTCATAGCATTTTTTTAAAAAAACCCTTGTTTTCTTTTAAATACTCTGATGATCCCAGCTGAGTTCCCTGATCGGCAGGGACTGCCGATCAGGGAACTCAGCTTGGATCGTCAGAGCATTTAGAAGAAAAAAAGGGTTTTTTTCTTTTAAATGCCTTTGACGAGCCGCACGATCATCAGAGGCTTTTTTTTTTACTTTTAAAAGCATTTTTTCAGCTGTAGTTGTAGAAAAAATGCTTTTAAAAGTTAAAAAAAAAAAGCCTCTGATAATTATGCGGCTCAGCTGGGCATGGGGTTGGGCGGGGATTTTTGCTACTGGTTCTCTGAACCACCTGCCTCCATCGCTACCGGATCAGGCAATCCGGTCCAAACCGGGAGCATTTCACTCCTGATGTGAAATCCATGACCTATTTCAACATTGAAGGGATGCTGGAGGTTGTCCACCTTCACAGTGCTTTACTGGAAAAAAAATCCACCGCAGATGCCAAGTAAAATAACCACAGATACATTAATGCTAATTGACACCAACTTATGCTTGACTTAGATATCTTAAAGTTTAGTTTGCATAGCCGTTACAGCGGGCCAGATTGCCAGGTTTCTTCTTTCCTCAGTACCATTCTTATGTGGAAATTTCTTACAGTTTCCAGCCCTGCAATTTTGCCTTTCAAAGACAAGCTTCTTCTTATTAAAGGGAGAAATTATCTTCTCAAAAGCAGGATGCATACTTAAACAATAGAAGTATTTTTTTGTCTTGAAAAACCTACAAATGGAAGGGAGCAGAAAAAGCAAACTGGTTGTCAGAGATATTGTAAACAAGTTCATCTATATAGTTCTAACAAGGAGTTCCGTCCAGATGTATAGCTGGAGCTTCCCTAATTCCTAGACATCTCTAACAAACCGCTTACATTTGCCTTCATTAAACTTTATTCTTTGCTTCCATGTGTGACACAGAGATTGATTCCATTTTGCATGTATTATTACTCTGTAAATTCTTCAGGGATATTAGGTATTCTTATCTTCTCTCCCAAATTAGCTGTCTTGTTTTAGGCAATATGTAATTTTACTTTATTTCGTAGATTGCAATATTTCAGGTTTATAGTTGCACAAATAATTAACACAGCATTATAGTAGCGCCTGTTACATTTTTTTATTATAGAGACACATTGCTATGCAAATATTTCATCTCATCCATTTGATTTTACTTTTGTAATTTATATTTACAAACCTTGCTGGTCATTGATTGAATAAACATTACTTGATTTCATTTCTTTACTACCAAGGGATAGAAGCTGAGATTTGTAACTAACTGCCCAAGGTAGACTTTAATGAGAAAGCCAATTCCAGAGATATTTGTTAGCAACTGTTGATGGGCATTTCTGATTTGTTACCTGAGATGAAATACTATTGTATTTTAATCACATATGAAAATTTAATAGCCACTAATTATCATGTAAATACAATTGTTATTTATTATTACAATAAATCCACTACTCTCATCTTAAGAAAACAATGTTTGGAAGTGAAAATAGCAGTAGTTTTGTTCATTATTCACCAGTAACTAAGGGCAGAACCAACACAAAATAAAACAATTGATAAATAATGTATTACAGTTAATTAGAATGGCATAATGTAAAATAAGGAGCCATGAAATATTAACTATGCATTTAAAATAACAGGTAGTAATTAATAAATAACATGGTGAAATATATAGTAGTATTTACTATTTAATGGCATTAATCACAATTAATTGCTTAGGGTAGGGTATCAGCACTTCTACAGCCAAAGAAACACAGTCTACTTATATTAATATTACTGGCTGTCAGTATTGTGATTGAAAATCTGCCATCATTTGACAGCTTCAGTGGTGGGTTGTCCCCGGTTTGGACCAGTTCACAAGAAGCGGTAGTAAAACCGGCGGGAGGTTCCATCCACCTACCTGAACGTCATCATAGGTGATCTGCGCATGCGCGCGCTCCCGATGTGAACCGGTAGTAAAGGTAAGTAGAACCCACCCCTAGACAGCTTGCATGTAATTGAATTTTGTTTTTTTACAGTATTTGGTGTTTGATTTATAATAGTATTTAATATCTGACATTACTGAATGGTCATTTATATTTGGGGCAGTGCAGTGGCTCAGCAGTTAAGGAAAGCCAGCAGTCCAAGTTCAAGACCCAAGTATCACATGATGAGGTGAGCTCCCATCCTGGCCCCAGCTCCTACCAACCTAGCAATTTGAAAGCATGCAAATGTGAGGAGATAAATAGGTACCACTTCGGTGGGAAGGTAACAGCATTCCATGACAACACATTGTCCACGTGACTGCAAAAATATCTTTGGACAGTGCTGGCTCACTAGCCTTGAAATGGAGATGAGCACCATCCTCTGTAGTCAGCAACCACTAATAGAATAAAATCCACAGGGACTCCTTAATATATTTTTTTACCTTTGATATTTGGCAAATGGTTGTTCATGAAATTTTGTTTGCAACCCATCACTATAAAAACAATGAAGATTGAAGGTGAAGGCTCCTTTTCCGAGCTTGTGGGTTGGTTTCCAAACATTTCATGACCAGGCTAGGTAACATCTTCAGCAGAATTTAAGGGGTGTCAGTGTTCTATTCATAAGGGCTTTGTGTGGTCAGTAGGTCTTGTGATGAGTCAGGTATAGGTGTGTCAAGTGAGGATCTTGTGATGGGTCAGGTGTGAATCATCAGTGGGATTCTTGTGGTGGGTCTTGTGGTGGGGAGGTCACATCAGGTGAGGATAATTGGGAGGTGAAGTCATGTTTGGGTGAGTTGGTAAGGTGTCTCTGATTAGCCTGGCAATGAAACATTTCGAAACTAACCCACAAGCTCAGAGAACAAACCTTCACCCTCATTCTACACCCAAGCTACAGATATTAGCCATTGCAATTGCATCCGCTATTGCAAACAATTAAGGTTGCAGTCTTGTTTAGACTTACCTGGATATGGATAATTTTTAAGCTACTGAGAGTAACTTCTAAGTAGAGATGCCTAGGAGTACTCTATGAGAGATGCTTACAATTCTAAAACATTAAAACTTTAAAGACTTCACATTCAAAATGTGGTTTCAAGAGCCAGGAGCAGAGATCAGAATTTCATCCCCAGGAAAAACAGACCATCCAAAGCTTGCAGTACCATGGTGATTCAAAGGAAATACCAACTCTGGTACGTTTTCAAACAATTCAGAACAGAGCCAAACTAAGCCAGCTTTTCAAAGAAATTCCATTAATAGATCAATCAGGTTCAGAGTCAACCCCAGAGCAGTTCAACATTGTTGTGTGGAAATGCTACGGGGCCTAGCTTACATGTGGAATTTGACAGTCCTGTAACCTCAATACATATGGAATAGCAATAGACATCAATCCTTAATTTTTAAAGTATTTCACTTGGTATTATTCTTTTTTTACTGAAAGGTTAACATTGATGCTACATTAAATTCCTTTGGCTAAATCTACTGTTAAGTTTTAAGTTGTCACACAGAATTGACATATATTTTTTCCTGGCCCACCTCTTATGTCTAAAAATGAAATATTTAGCAGGTTTGACATCCTGTCACCTCCTTGGTGAAACCATAATCTTCTGAATGATTACTTGAAGCTCAATGAATTCATTGGAATTGACTTGGTTAATTAGTATGTTATGATCCAGCTCTTGTTAAAAGTCACAAGAGAAGATCAAGTAAATAAAAAAAAATTGTTTTCTTTCAACCTTTTCATGATCATTGAAAATAATATACTGACATGAGAAGTGGAAGGTTTTTCAGTCCCAATTTCATTACTGTTTTTATTTTTAGCCCTTTCATGTGATTATCTGTTGTTGTTTTTCTAACTCACTCTATCCTCTGACATTTACCAGGCTCCAGATATGATGTGAGTTTTCATTCCCTTCATGGATAATGGAAAATCACTTTCATGTTCAAAACAATTTTAACCTGCTACATTGAATGAAAATGAAAATGCATCTTAAAGCTCACTTTATTTACATCCAAGGTTCAAAATCAAGTGATTTGAACCTGAGTCCATGTTTCTTTTCAAATGGAGAGGCTTTTTTTTTTATTCCAAACACTCTGCTTCTTCATTTTATTCACTCCATCCTCAAAATGGTAACCGGAATACTATAAAAGCAGCACTGAACAGTTCTCTCTCTAATTTTTTTAAAACCTTAAATGGAAGAAAAATATGTGTTCCTATTTGTTCTTGCTGTATGCTATAAGATATTACTATGTTAAACATGTTTTAGAATAGGGAGATAAGGATCACTCCCAAGATAAAGGCAACTATTGCAATAAGCCTCTCATCCTTATTTTATCAAATCCCCATCACACATCTAAAAATCCTGTTTGCACTGGGGAAGATAATCAAAGATGTTCTGAGCTTTGTATTTGCCAAAATTGTGTTTCTACAGATTATAACGTTTATATGATTTCTTCCTTTCAGGAAAGGAAATACATGTAAGAAATGTACTTGCTTATTCTCCAGGAGATGAGGGGTTGTTGTTTTTTCGTTTCTCTTGCTTTCAAGGGGTCAAGGGCACATCAAAGTACATGCTTTAATTCAGAGGTGGGTTTCACATATTGTTATCACCGGTTTGCCCCGCATGTGCATCAGTGGTGGGTTTCAAAATTTTTTACAACCGGTTCTGTGGGTGTGGCCTAGTGGGTGTGGTGTGGCTTGGTGGGCATGGCTTGGTGGGCGTGGCAGGGGAGGGATACTGTAAAATCTCCATTCCCACCCCACGCCAGGGGAAGAATACTGTAAAATCTCCATTCCGTCCCCACTCCAGGGGAAGGTTATTGCAAAATCCCCATTTCCTCCCGATCAGCTGAGACTCGGGAGGCAAAGAATAGATGGGGGTGGGGCCAGTCAGAATTTTTACTACTCCAAGTAGTAGTAGTACTTCTCCAAACTACTCAACATTTCCGCTACCGGTTCTCCAGAACTGGTCAGAATCTGCTGAAACCCACCTCTGATGTGCACGCTCGCTTCACGCATGTATGCACCTTCTGCACATGTACCCGGCCTCGAAAACGTGGCTAAATAGGATGGCATAGAGCCAGGGCAGGTAGGTGGGTGGGCAGGCCCACCCGCGATCTCTGCTACCGGTTCCCCCGAACCAGTATGAACCGGCTGAATACCACCTCTGCTTTAATTGCAATATACATATTTATCTGGGAGAAAACCCACTGAAAGCAATCAATTATATTTTTCAATAGATATGTATTGGTGGTTTGCTGGTCAGACAGTTGGAAATATATGTAAGTTTACTCAGAAGTAAGTCAGCTCACATCCAGTGAAATATGGTCTCAATCATTGTTTATATTACTAGTTTTCAAAAAAAATTTTATTCCACTCATGAGATGACATTTCTCCTGAAGATAACCTTTGATCAAACCTCTTTATTCCTTTTCCCTCAGGGATATATTTTATTGATTAAGCAAGCATCTTCCTTATTGTCAGCAGGATGAATGAGCTGCCTGGAGATGGTTCTTTTTAGAAGCCGATTAAATTGGACAAGGGCAAGGAAAGAATGACCACGTCTTTATTTATATGCAAAGCCTAAGGTGGGGAGAGAATGCTCATTTAGATGTCATCCTCTCACACCTCAATCAGAAGACAGATAAAAAAATCTTTTAAGAAGAGGGTATGAAATAACCTTTCAGACAGGAAATAAATGGCAAGGTCAGAACTTCAGTGTCTCTCACTGAGCTTGCCGCTAAATAGCCAGTAATGATGCAGCTGCTCCTATTGTACCTGGTGACTGGAGGAACCCTAAGGATTCTCAGAAGACTGCTACTGTGAAGGCCCTTCAAAAACCCCATTGCCCCACCCTAAAGTAGTAGTGTCTACAAATGGGAGGCCCAAAGCCACATAAAAGTAGTGAATATACATCTATATGATTTATGACCTATTATTTGCTGTTTATATGTATGCTGTGAGCTTATGCACCGGAGACAAATTCCTTATGTGTCCAATCACACTTGGCCAATAAAGAATTCTATTCTATTCTATTCTATTCTATTCTATTCTATTCTATTCTATTCCATTCCATTCCATTCCATTCTATTCTATTCTATTCTATTCACAGTAAATAACGTTATGATATTATTATGTAAACTGCACTCTCTTATACTGGCCTTGCAATAGCTTATGGAAGTACAGAATAGTACACTTGCTTTGTAATGCCATAACATACCCTCTATCCCTTCTCCTCCTCTTTGCCTCCCTTGTGGACACTTGGATGCTTAGTTGTGGCCTCTAGGAATCTTAGTAAGCTTGTTGCATTTAAATGTTGTTTGTATTTCTTGGAATGCAGTTTGCAGTTGCAAATGAAAATGGGAGTGTTGTGGTCTTTGGCATACAATGTAAGGTCAAAAGTAGCCCTTGGTGTGAAAAAACATATACTTCTACGTGCCCTTAAGACTTTACTGTTCCAACAGGCTGGGCTGGCTTAAATAACGAATTTTAATGGGTGTTTAGTTTTTTAGTTTTTTAATATAAGGGCCAAATTATTTAATATGTTTTAAATTGTTTTTAAATTTTATGGATATATGTTGTTTTATTGTGGCTGTGTATCACCCTGAGTCCCTCAGGAGAAGGTCGGTATAAAAATTTAAATAATAAATAAATAAATAAAAGCAAGACTAGGAATGCAAAGAAGCAGTGTAATAATACTTAGGAGAAAATGTCCAAAAGTGCAAGTTTTCTAAAAAGCAAAGTGCCCATGAGGTAGGTGGCTGAGGAAAGGTTTTCAGAACTCACCAGTATCTTTCAACTGAAGAAGCTTCTTGAATGAGAAGTGAAATGTTTTCAAAGGAAAAAACTAAGAAAGTCCACTTGCCTTTTGAGGAAAAACAAAAGGGATTTAGGATAACCAGGATCTGGGTGATTGAGAATCTCCATAGACAGCTTTCAAGAGAGGATAAGTAGTGACTTCCAGGGGCATGCATAAGCACAAAGGGGCATGCATAAGTGCACCATTGTGCCTTCTGTCCAGATAGGAAATGCTACCGGTTCAGGCGTTTCTCCTGAACCGGTAGTAAAAAATGCTACTGGTTCACCGAACTGGTAGTAAAAAAATGTAAAAAAAAAAAAAAAAAAAAAGGTCCGACGATAAACTGAGCGACACGCAATCGTCAGAACTGATTGTCAGAACTTTTTTGTTTTTACTTTTTAAGCATTTTTTTACTACTGGTTTGGGCAAATAGGTAGTTTAAAAAAGTAAGGAAAAAAAGGCTCCGATGATCGCATGGCACAGCTGTGATTGTCTGAGCCTTTTTTTTATTTTTTTAAAGCATTTTTTTTACTACCTATTCCCCCGAACCAGTAGTAAAAAAAAATGCTTTAAAAAGATTTTAAAAAGGTTCCCAAGATCACAGCTGTGCCGCGCAATTGTCAGAACCTTTTTTTAAAAAACTTTTTTAAAGCATTTTTTTACTACCGTTTCGGTAGCTGTTCTACTTACCTTCCCAAGCCTCCTTTTGGTGTGTATTGTGCACGCGCTCAGGGCACATGTTTGGTGCAAACTGCGCATGCGCAGCCAGAGAACCAGTAGCAAACCAGT